ATAAATCAGTGCAAACCTTGCCAATCAACCGGGTAGCCAGTACCAACCCGGCCATCGTGGCCGGCCATGGAACCCCGACGGGAATGACGTTTAGGGACGTGTATTTACACGTGATGACTGATGTCCCCCGATCGTCGACGACTGACTACGGCAGTAACAACCAAGTGAAAGCGGGTGGCGACAAGAGAACTGTGAACGGTGATAAAACAGTAACCAAACATCGGGAAGACGACGCACTAGTTCAGCGTATGTGTTCGGACATTATGTCCGCGATGTACCGGAAAATCAATGAACAATCGACGGGCCTCGTAACGTCTGGCACCACCGTACACCAGAAGTCGGAGAAGCGGCTGCGGTATTCGTACCGAAAGATCTCTCCTCGTCCGGTCGGCTACTACGAGCGTAAGGATTCGAGCAGCGTCACCATCGGACCGGATGAACGTTATCACGACCCGATTTTCGCGCAAGAGTCCAGCCGTGTGGACTATCTGACCAGTTATCCATTGGCCAAGAGTTGTAATGGCGTCGGCGCAGTCGAGGAAGAATACGATGACAGATGGGACGAGGACGTGGACCAGGCGCCCAAAGTGTGGAAGCTGAACATGGCCGGAGAGCACGCCATGTTCAAGTCGGCGAAAAGTCGCGAGCAGCAGTCGGATGACGATGACGACGACCAGACTTTGTAGCGACGGCGTACTGCAGAAAGAGCCGGCACGCTATTTGGCGCACTTGCAGCTTTGGTATATATTTTTTACGTTACATATAAGTCACTATATAATAAAAATTATTAATACTACTAATACACGTGTAGTTTTCGGTATTGAGCTATAATTGCTCACGACATGAGAAAAATATGTGTATATATAAAAATATACTTATCGTTTATATAGTTATATTTTCCAAAACGTATTTTATAATATACTTGCAGTAGGTATTACATATATGTCACACTAACGGGCTTATGCGTTATAAACATATCGTATTCCGATCATAGATAATGTAATAGTGTACAGTTGAGTACATTTAATAGTTTTAGCTATAGTTATTGCGACATATATGAGTGATAGTCTGTTAACAAACAGCAAAAGTTAATAGCAATCAAAATATTTAATAGTATATTAAAAAATATAATATAGTATAATTTTTTTTTTTGCTACTACACGCCAGCACATGTAGACTGTAGGTGTTTAAGCTAGTGGTTTAAATTAATAAAGTATATTTTGTTGAGACTCTGTACCCCTATATACCTATATACAAATATGTGTATGTGTTTTTTTATGTAAATGAGTAAAAAATAATAATAATAATAATTATTATTATTGTTATATCGGATCTATAAATGGCTAAAAAATATGGTAGATGACTTAGGTCAAGAAAAAGAGTTACTTGTGTTCAAAATTCAAATGTTTAATAATGTTATGATAATATTTTATAAGATTCTAAGAGAAACATAATTAAATCAACAGTAAAAATATTTAATATTTAATAGCTACAATATAATAATACGTATGTGCTTAATAGAAAATTAAAAATAAGAAACATTTTTTTTTCTTACATAAATTTTACTTTATTCATAAACGTTGCCACTATAATAATTTATTGTTGTTGCAGATTAGAACGTTTGAATGGGGATATCTAAATGTCTGGAATCCTAAGCACCCAGATTTATTGAATACAGATTTCATGGATTATTAAGGTTTAATTTTTGTTTTTGATTTATGAGGTTTTCGTGAAAGTCGTAAAACCTGAAAGCCATGAAGTCACATTGTCAGAGCATTGCATTCATTTGGACGTATTAGTCAATCATGTCCCTGAAGGGGATGATTTGACGCGGATTTATACAGTTATACCTTATAACTTTGCGAAATAGAAACTAAAAATAAGATAAGATAAAATATATTTATTTAATAAAATAATAAAAGTTTCAATAAATTCCCCTCTCCCATCGCCAATTTATTGATCTCCCAGCTGTATTGAAAAAATATCATGTATTTTACTATTACATATTATTTCTTATTTATACTTATTACGCTTTTTTATGGTAAAGTATGGTATGACACAAAAGTTAATAACAATGATGTAATGTGGTATATTTAAATATATGATAATATATTGTAATAATTAAATATCAATAATAAAATATATTATACAATATTTTAGATGAAAATTAAGCCAATCTACCGTAATATTAATTATAAAATAAGTTACATTGATAAAATGCTAAAAAACATATCTTGAAATGTATTAAATGACAGATCATCTTCGCTCAAAATCAATTTTTGTATACAATGATATATCATTGAATTAAAAAATTTAACACATCTATTACAGTGATTCACTCGACACCATTTGTTTGCCTTTTTTAATTTTTCATCATAATAAAATCAACTGTAGAGTAGCGATGATATTTGTGCGTAGAAATTTAACGGACTTGATTACCAAAAATAATAATAAAGAAGGGTAAAACAGGATATCCGGCGGGGATACATGATATTTAAATTTATTATATATTCATACTGTTCAAAATCTCAATACTTGCTCTATCAGACGTGTCCCAATCTTTTTTTAAATTCTAGATCACTAACGAAATCTATGTTTATACTGCAGGAAATATATACTTCTGCTGACCTTTTTTTTTGTTTACTCCGATAAGATTGAAAAAGTGAAACGAAATAATAAATGTAATATTATCAGTCTTTACAATAATTTGTATGATGAAGATAATTGTCTTTAGATATTTTTTCAATAAAATATTATTTATATAACAAATGTATGACTTTTATTAGCGTTTGTACTTTTTATTATTCAATTATTGTGTAATTTAAGTACTTACTACGGATGTATCTACGCACAACAACAATTAGAGTTACAAATTATACACTAAATATGAATTATTCATTAAAATTAAAAAATTAGTTTGGTTAGCAAACACATACTCGTACTTTGCATTATTTATTTCTATTAAATATTTTTAAGTGTTATATTTTTAGTTTTATTTATATAATTACATATCTTTTTAGAATTTTCGATCTTCGAAGGTTGGTTAGAATACTTTCTTGGCCCGAATCCAATTTGTAAGTCATGGGTTGGCATCTTTCCTCTATAGTTTCTAATAACTCCCGCTATCAGTGAGAAAGCACTGCAAGCAGGTATCCGTAGCTTTCAAACCATTTTAGCACCATAATTTAAAAGTATTATAGAAAATGCTGCAATAAATTATCTTCGTAATGAATGATTTGTGAAATTTACCTATTCATACAATTTTTTTTAAGAATATAATATACTGCTGAGTATGTTTTAAGTATAGTTTAATGGACTCAACTCCTATTCACAGAATATTGAAAGATGAAATAGGGGTACACCAATGGAGCTATTTTTCCAGTAAAATAAAATAAATATTTTTGAAATATTAAATAAATGTTTTTAACATTTATAAATGTAATATTAGTTTTTTACTAACAGATATAATCTCAGAAACTATAAGACCGATTTCAATAAAAGTTGTATCGATGGATTTCTCGAGATTTATAGGCTATTTTTAATTTTTTTTTCAACTCCTATAGGTTGCTGTTGTGGTGACTAATATATACATTTTTTTTTGGCTAACGGAAAATTGAATATTTTATTTACCAATAATTACAGTTGTATAATGAATTACGTTTTTGAACTTAATAAAGTAATAATTAGTAATTATTTGTTATTTGTAAGTATTAAGTACCTTCATTAGAAGAATATTTTCATATATTTGTTGCTTATAGATTTATAAGCTATATAAACTACTGATCGATTTGGTAATTTTATTATGTAAATTGAATGCATTTAAATTTGCAACGAAACCAGGTACTAAGTTTAAAATGTTTAAATAAGAATGTTATCGAAGCCGATCTGCTTATGGTTAAATCATTTATATTCCAAGAACACTTATGATTACAAACCAATAAATTTAAACGTGTATAATATCCTATTAAATTTTATTTCATTTTGTCAATCGATGAGCTACAAGAATAATTATAGAAAGTTACAAGAATTGACAACACAGATCTTTGCTTTATACATGATCATTTGTATACTGCTTGTTCTCATGTAAGCTCAGAAAAAGCCCATATGTTTATGCACCTGAACAAAAAACTACTAATATTGCTTACAGATAAATAATAAAAAGTTGATAAATTTAAATATTTAATATTTGAAATGTTAACGCAAAAATAAATTAATCTGTAGATAAACATTTTGTTACAAGGTTGACACTTTCGGAATGTTTGTTAAAAATATTAAAATATTATTTTATCCTCTTGACCTTACACTATAATGTGGTTAGGTTTTTTGAATAGTACTTAAAGCTTCTTGAAAAAAAAACACCGTAAGTTTTGTTAGTAATTTATACAAATATATACTTCACCACACGATTATGCCCCGGTAGTATTAATATACTTGATAGAACAGAAATATATTGCGGCCTGTGTGTATTAAGCTCGTCAATGGACTTCTGAAGTTCTGAATAACAATATTGTCTCGTTATTCTACTTGAACCTCAACATTTAATTCAAACCACTGCTTCATTTGCATGCCTCACGCCACCTCCAATTATTTTGCTAACGAGCCACTAAGACAATTAGTATTAATCGCCAATATGGATTTAGTTTAAAATTTAAAATTTTGAACCTAGACACTTTCTTTTTAGTTTTTTTCTTTTACTTATAATTTTAATCGTTTAAAAGTTACTTCACTTTTAGTTCACTTCACACAACAATATTTGATATATTTATCAAATTTACAATTGTTAATTTAACTATGAACTAAGTTAAGTATTCAAACAAATGTTATTACAAATTGTACATACTAATGTAAAAAAACCCAGCCCGGAAAAAATATCTGAATATTAAAATAAATAATAATTTAAGTGATACTAGGACAGAATTAAAATTTGTTTGTATTTATTTTGTTCTTATACAAGCGTAAAAATATTTAATATTCGATTTACGGTCGGTCGTCATTATCGGTCAGGGGTATATGGGGCTGGTGGTATCGGTTTTGCAGGATTTAACCTTGATGTTGTTCAGGTCGCTGTATAGTCTCTTTAAAACGTCGATGAAAGACGATTCGTTGGAATCGCTAAGTATATCCTGCCGGTTGATCAAGTCGTCGGACGGACAGCAGTCGGTAATACTCGGGCACATACCCGCACTGATAGCGCTGCTTATACCGCCACACGGACGAGCTTCTTCGCGCATACGACACAACTGTCGCTCCAGATCGGCGATCTTTTTTTTTTTACACTGTAGGTCTTCGGTCAGAAAACTCCGTTCTCGCTCCAGCTGTTCGCACTTTTCGTCCTTGGCTCGGTTACGCGCCTCGGACAACTGGCGTAGCTCATCCAGCTGACATTCGTTGGTCTGCACCTGGCACTTGAGTGACTCGATTTTGGAAGTAACTTGCTCGTTGTCGCGGCGGGCGCTGGCCAGCTCTTCGGCGGCCTGACACACCTTATCTGATGCCTCGCAATTCTCCTCCCTAAGTGCGCGCGCTGTTGCCTCTGTCTCGCTCCGCTCGCGATTCATCGTCTCCCGTAGTTCGGCAATCGCCGCTTGTAACTTTTCCACTTTTGCTCTCAGCTCGGTCACCGTCTGGACGGCCGTCTCCAACTCAAACTTGACAGCCTTTAGTTCTCGTTCCTTTTCCTTCAATTTCTCCGCAACCGTGGTCCTCTCTCGCTTCAGACACTCTTCAGCCTTTTTCAACCGTGACTTGACGTCCGCTATGTCCGCCTTCGACCGTTCCAGCGCACATTTTGCGGCATTACATGCCAGGCACAGGCGTTTGCACTCGGCTTCACTCGCTGCAAGCTGTTTCCGTACTTTGTCATAGTCCTCTTCCTTTGTCTTTAGCGTTCTTTTCAAGCTCTCAATGAGACGTTTTAATTCGCTTACACAGGTCTGAAATAAAACGCGCGACAAAGTCATGCAACATCATTGTTTTTTATTATTATTATAAAGCAAATGGGGATCATCTGACGTGCAAATAAAGATACATAGTTTTGTGTCAGTAAAATAGATTTATACTCGAAATATAATTGACTTATCGAGATTAGTATTGAGTAATATAAAACTTTTAAACCCTTTACTGCAGACGTTATATAATGTAATTAAGTATGCAGTGAAAAAACGCTAGCTCTTAGAATAATTTTAAGGACGCTTCACCTGCATGCGTTATCTCCATCTTACAATACGTACATACACGTTTGTAAGACGTCAATGACACACGTAGACAAAGCGTCCTCTTAAGTGTTTAAAAATTTACCACCACTTAACAGCAGGTAGATTTCAGGAAATATATTAATTTATTGTATATATGTATTGATTTTACATTGATATAATTTTTTGTGTTTGTATACACGGTAATTAGTCTATAAAATATTTCGAATTTTAATTTTGAGGTTGGTTTTGGATAGAAAATTGTATCTAGTTTGTACTTTAGAGAAGTTAAAATTCCTAGCTTTTTTTTTTTATAGTCGGGAAAAACAAGAAAAAAAATTTAAAGAAAAACGCATATCTTATTTTTGACAAAAATCGATTTTGTTTTTTTGATGCCTTGAAAACGAATAATCTCAGATATTTGAAACTTTCGCCAAATGTTTTTATTATCCTTTTTTATTTATAATAAAATTATTTTTAATATTTTTGAACTATGATTATCAGAAATTTTCAATTTTTTTCTATTTTTTAGTCTTTTTTTTTCTATAAATATCGATGAAAAATGATTCACTGAGTAGAAATGTTTGAAAATTTAATAAAAGATCCCAAAAAAATTTTTCTTATATCTATAAGAAAATATTAAAAATACATATGCAAAATGTATTTTAAATGCGTTTAAAATTAAAATTTTGACGAAATCTGTCAAAATCGTAAATATTGCTAATTACTTTATTGTTGAAAATTTACTAAAACTTTTCATTTTATATCTTAGTTTTAAAAATGTAATAGAAGATGATTACTGAAAGTTCATACTGAAAGCATAAAATATAAAAATATATCAAGACAATTTAAGTCCAAACTTTGGACAAAATTACTTATTTAAATGGTATAATACTATAATATAACAATATTAATTATTTTGTTATAATTTAAAAACAATATTGATAATACTAAAAATAATACTAAAAGTAAAATAAATAATAGCTGTATCAAAAACATAATATCGTGATATGTGTTAACAGACCGTTTTCTTTCAGAATAATTTTTTGTGTACAATGATATATAATTGAATTAGATTTAATAAACCCATAATAGTAACCTAATCGATACCTAATACACAGCAGAGCGGTTCCTACTTGCCAACCTTTTTAATTTTAAATTAAGGCCAAATCTCTATTGTATAATGTTGTGGTATTATATAATTACATTAGTTTTAATTACATGTTGTTGCAAACATTATGTGTATCATTTATTTTATAAGGTACATGCTTATTGCATTTCAAAAAGCAAATTCCGCGTAATTCCACTTTAAATCTAATATTTACTTGCTTTCGATATATTGGAACTTAAGATCCTTAGAGATCAACTCATTTTTTTATGTCAATTTACTCTGATAATTATTGTTGCCTTGAACAATCGATATTACACCAATCTTCTCATCTGATCAATTTTTTATTATTTTATTCGTATAATTTTCAGATAATGAAGATTTACGTAACTATTTGGTTCCATTACAGCCTTACTAGCATATTTTTAAGTATAAATACGACACGTTATAATGCGTTGTTATACACGAATATTATGATTGTGTGTGTTACATGTCAATGTTTATTAATTAAATATTATATATTTAATTATTTTATCACTATTATTAACATTAACCAAACTATTGTTAAATCTACAGCCAACATTTACATACAAGTACTATTTGCATTAACCAAGTTATTAAAATATCATCAGCTAACATTGATATACCGTTACATTTTTATTATAATATATATATTGGATCGTATATACCTACTAATGAGATAGCTTATCATGATTAGTTAAATTTACCTCAGCATTGCATAGTTCATTTTGAATGTTTATTTTACACAATTCCAATTTCTCTATCTCGACGATTAGTGTTTGTTCTTTCTGATTTAGTGTGTATAACTTTTCAGTGATACAATCATTAGAGTCATTCAGTTTAGTGTTTTCCGATCGCAACTTACATTCTTGCGTTTCAACCTCTTTTATCTTTTGTTTCTGTTTGTTAATAATGCTTAACACATCATTGTTCGATTGTTTTACTTTAAAATCGACATCTTCTATCCACTTTTGTAAATTGTATAATTGGCATTTTAAATCATTTTTCATCGCGATATCTTTCTCGTATGTGACCAATTTGTCTTTAAGTGCACATACTTTATTATTTTGACAAGCCAACCTATCCTTTAAATCTTGTGTTCTCTGATCACGTGACATCTATAAAAATAAATTATTACACTCAATTAAATTTTCTTCAAAAGGAAATTTAATTACATTTACTAACATTAAATGAGTTTAATAAAAACAATTTTAAATTATTCTTTCTGTTTTTAAGTAAGTTGTGTTGATTAACTAATTTTTAGTGCTGTTTATAAACTATAATAGATACGCAATAACTAGCCAGTATCTTATTATATATAATATTAAATAACTGAAGAATTAATTCAGTTGTGTATAGTAGGTACGAGTGTACTTTGTTCATTATTAACGGAAAACTGTTTTGACTGGAAAAATTTTATAATAAATCTAAGGATATTATATATATATATATATATATAGTGGTCGCCGCTTAATGTAATCACTTTGGTACGGGACATAACTGATAACATAATCCGATTGATAACATTAAACGAAAGTTAAAAAAGTTATAAAAAATAATAAAATCTACGTTAAATACATAGTTAATAAAAATATAATTTTTTTATTTATTATTATTTATTTATAAAAAAAAGTACATATGTAGGTATAAATTGGAAATTTAAAATTAAATGTAAATAAATAAATATGTATAATATGTATGTACACCACTAACTTGAACAATATTTTTTTATCGATGTCTGTTTTTATTTATCGTTAAAATTTCATTGATAAAATGTTCGTATTTGTACTGTCTTAATGCTGTACGAACGAAAGGTAGATATCAATGTGTACACTGTATAGACATTTATATCTTTATTACAATATTTTTATCTTTATTATGAGACATTCGACGAAAAATTTGATTGTATATTACAAAATTATGATTTTATGAACTCAAACTGATAATATTATGCGACGTATTGATTACAAAAACCGACATAATTTACACATATAAGTATAGATCCGGCCCGTACTTAAACTTTTCGATAACAATAAACGATTGATAACATTAACCGTGATTATAATAAGCGGCGACCACTGTATATATATATTAACATGAGACTTTGTATATTTCAAATATAAAATACTATTTAGTTTTAAGTTTGTTAGAAAATTTGAAAAAAAAACATTATACAAATTATGATTAATGCATTAGAATATCTTTTAAAAATAATTGTGAAGGTGTAGCTATAAATAAAAAAATAAAAATATTATTATTCGTTATACATTTTATGAATAATAACTAAAATAAAAATTAAAAATTTATAAATCGCATTCACGTGGTTGAAACTTTTAATCTAACCTTTCTAACTTATCATTGATATAGGGTTATCTGTCATTTTCATAGAAACACAATCAAGAGGCATGAACCTACCGGTGATTACGATTAAAGATATCTTTGACTGTTCTAGTGATCCATTCAGCAACCAGTTCGGTTTGGTATGCGGGGAATAATATTTAAGTACGTATACTATTTGATTTCGAAAAAAAACGAATTTGGATTGTTTTAAGAAACATTTTTTTCTCTGACGATCGTCAAACTGCTTTATGAAAAATAATCTTCAACAATAATTGTGTGTTAAAATATAGATACTTTATAATAAGTAAATGTACCTTAGTAAATAGCCTGAAGTATATTTTATAATAAATAATTTTTTTATTTTTAAGTTTTCCAGCCCTTAAGACCATCCCGTAAAACAAATTTCCCTCCATTTTATTCTGTCTTCAGCTATTTCTCTCCAGTTTGCTCTTGGGTCTACTTCTTCAACTTTCCTCTTCACACAGTCTTCCCATCTGAGGTGTGTTCTGCCTAGTGGTCTTTTTCCTTTCGGTTCCTCTTTAATTATTACTGTGCTTATCATAGCGTCTTGTTTCCACTTTCCTCCAAGCGTGACCTGCCCACATCCGTCTTCTTTTCGCAACTTCTTTTGAAATACACGATCTACGATCTTTGGAATAAGTTTTGAAGTCCCTTCTCGTAGGTTCGATTTCTCCATTCTTCTGTTTTTGAGTTAAGACAAGGTCCATAGATTCGTCTCAAAACTTTTCTTTCAAATAAATAAATATAATAATACATTTTCATTATTCGATTTATCGGCATTTGCAGCAGGTCATCGTGTCTTCAATAAAAGTTAATTTTACACGACAACTATATATTATTATTATTAAATGCGGTAAACAAAATTCACAATACTTTCGTGCACGTTTAGAGGGATTCTCAAAAAGTCGTGTAAACGCCAACGAACACATATACAATTAAATGCGGCGCACTTTGTCGACGTACATATTATAATGTCATACTGTTATATTATGTATACCTGTATAGTAAGTGTGTATATTATAATGTAATAATAATAATAATAATAATAATAATAATAATATATAGGACGCTCGTTCGTATAAGTCTTCGACAGCCCTGAAGAAAAAATCGGCGTGTGCGTGTGCGATGTATGGCAGGATTTCTCTCGCGTGTGGATTAATTCCAAAACACCGTCTGCGCATATAATATATATATATACGTTTATATATATATGTATGTGTGTGTGTGTGTGTGTGTGTGTGTGTATACCTACCTAATAATATATATTATATTTTATAGGCTCCACCGGAGGAATCTGTTACAACAAGGGTCCGTGGCAGCCGATCCTTTTCTCAAAGTCTTTATGACGTGCAGGGAAAAAATAATAATATAACAATAATAGTATAATAGTTCCGTCCCCGCGTATAATGTAAGTCTGCTTTCTCTCGCGCGCTCGCACACGCATACAGGTCGCAATATCCCTTTTTTCCCTTTATACGTTCCACGGCGCGATTCCCAGTCACCTACCGGTCTTTGTTCGGTTTCCCTTTGTCATGGTAATCGCGCGCCCGGGTTACTCGCGCGACGACCTCGACTACGTGGTCGCTGCCGTCGCCGCCACCGCCGCCGCCGACGACGACGGCGATGACGATCCGGTAAACATCGCGTGTATTATTATTATTATTATTATCATCATCTCCGCCGGCGATTTGGGTCTTCCACCGGATAACACCGTAAACTCTTCCTTTTACTCACTCGATCACTCTTTCTCTCTCTCTCTCTCTCTTTCAATTTTTTATATTTATTTTTTATTTTTTGTCTATCCGCAGCGTTACACCGAACGCCCGTCCATTGTTGACCGTGTGAAAGGGACGTGTTGTACCTGCGGCGTCGGTGGTGCTCCCCATCCCCCGTGTGTCAATTGTACCGATGACGATAATAATAATAATAATAATAATAATAATAAAAATAATACCATCTGTGGTCGACCAGCACCTTTTCTTCACGCGACAACGGCTTACAATCGTCTGCTGCCATTGTTGAGAACCTTTGTTGCCGTGGAGCGGACACTCTTCCAAGTCGCCGCCGCCACCACCGGGTATAGGTATATATGGTTGTTGCATGCTGCACAATAATAGGTACAATACTGTACCCAAACAGATTGTTGTCCGATGATATATTTTACATTATATCTGGAGCGCGGAATTGTATGTACTGAAAAGTACATTACAATGTGCCATAGTCGAAATCGCCAAAAATCTGCAATAAATATGCAAAAAAACTGTTTTTTTAAATGTAGGTATAGATATACGATTCAACCATTTATCTAACAATTTTTTATTTGGAACTGAATACAAATAAATCATTTTTTAATGTACTGCTTAATGAGATTTTGAATAAGAAAGTCGACTAAATATATTATTGGAATTTTCTACTCGATGAAATATATTTTACACCTTTATTTTGGGATTTAATGTCACTTCAATGTACAATAGACATCAAATTTTGTCGAAATATTCAGAAATTTGAAAACAAACTGTTGTCACTATTTTATAGCTGGAAACTATTAACATTTTTAATAACTACAGACAAAAATATAAGAGAGGAAAAAGTATACATTTACACTTAAATCCTCGCTCTCATTATAATGTAATACGTAGATTATAATTTACAAGAACTATCACTACACATAATAATATGGAAAAGGTCCGAATAACTATGCTTAAAATTAATCATTATCGCTATCTGAACAGTTATTATATGTATTTTGTATATAATTGACACGAATGATCACAACATTGGTTTCCCTTCTGCAATCAAGGAGAAAAAATTCGAAACTATAAAACCTTAAAAACTACGTAGGATTAATAAGTATTCAATAAAATATTGCATTTAAGCAGTTTTTTTATGTGTCTATTAATTAACAATGCTGTAACGCATTACATATTTCGTTTAAATTTTTCTAAGTAGCCAAAATGTAATAGGAATTATTATAAATGGGTAATTCCTAAAAATATAACACGTTACTATTTCGGAGTATCGAAAACTAAAATTTTTTTTTAATAAATCGGAAATAATAGTATAATTCTATAAATATCTGCTTAATGAATATATTATTATTTTATTTTTTTTAATACGGACTTAGTTCTTGAGTACAGTAATAAGTAAGTATACTTGCAAAAACTAAGTCAGCAGAAGCAAAACCGAATCGGTATCTAGATTAGTATAAAAACAAAGGATGGACTTTATTACTATTATTTTAAATTTTAATTAGTTAAAATTCAGTTTTCAATGTTTTGGACAATGCGTAGGTAAGTACCTAATTATTCTTGCGCAGTAGTTTATATTATAATTAATTCTCCTAAAAATATAGTTTTTATTGAAAAATAAAGTTTTTTCATTTAAATTTTATATGCCACTTGAACACTGTAATAATTATTATCAATAAAATATCAAGAATACTATCAGAAGTCACCAAGTAATAGTAATTATTTATAAACGATCTATGATATTATATTAAAACGCAATACGTATTATTATTGATTGTAAAAAGATTACACTACTTGTTATTTGGTACTGTACTACTATTATAAGATATATTCCATCGACGATACAAACGACTCGTTACGTGTTTACAATCAGAACGATGTATCATCGTGTTAATTTTGAGACTATATTGATCGGATGTCGACCGATACAATTTTATTCGGGCAATGGTCGATTCGAGCACGTCACGTCAATTATTCGGGTTGTATGAGCATTGAATTTGCCATTGTAA